GAGAGAGAGAGAGAGAGAGAGAGAGAGAGAGGGAGGGAGAAGGAGAGGGAGAGGGAGGGAGGGAGGGAGAGACAGAGACAGAGAAAGGGAGGGAGGAAGGGAGGGAAAGAGAGAGGGGGGAATCCTGAATTACATTCTTTTTTTTAGAGATATCAAGAATTTGGGATCTTTACCTTCAAGATCGCCCACCTTAACAATACCAGGCTACCTGGATGCTGAAAACCTTAGCTCCATCCCAACCTGCACTTCTCCTACACCAAAGACCACCAGAAATTCCACTTTACCCACCAGTGAGCCTATCTAGCTCCCACATAGCATCTCCCTCAATGCACCTGGGTTCTTTCCCACTTTATGCTGAAGCATAAAAACAGCTGGACAGCCAGTGGCTCCAGAGAAACCTAGTCAAGATCCAAGCTTTGCCTTCCTCCAAGTCTCCATTGTCAGGTCTGCAGTGTGAGGGAGGGTAAGGCTGTGGCAGGACAGAAGAATCCTCACTGGTGGCTAACTGGAGATAAGAGGCTCATGGACTTTCCTGCCAGGGATGACTTTGAACCATAATCCGCAGATCTCAGCCTTTTGAATAGCGAGGGTTATGGGTATGAACCATCAGAGCCCAGGCTTATATTTTCAAGTTCTGCTGTTTTCCTACAAGTCTTTTCGTGCTCACCCCAGAACATGTTAGTCTTCCTCACAAAATGAATGGGGCCAAGGGAGTTCAGGGAACCTTCAAGCAGAGCTCAAGCTCTGGAATGTTCGCGTGTATAAGGCCTGTGAAATCATTTGGTACATGATAGGACAAACAAGTATACTTCTTGTCTGCTGCCTGTTACCATCTTCCTGGTCCATGAATTTTTGTTTGGCCCATGACCGATGTTCTAAATACCTGAAAGGTCCTTGATAGAAAAAGATTGCCCACCCCTGCAAGCTTGTTTTCTGAGAAAACACTAAGCACTCACTGAGAGGGAGGGTGGAGGAGAACCTAACTCACCCAGCTTCCCTTTATCCCTCCCTACTCCTGTCAAGCATCTTCATTCTCAACCTAGTCAGTTATTTCTTACACCCCACCACCAGTAGCTGCAACACAGCACAGGAAAAGACTGCGCCATTCCCAGATGGCTTATGAGAATTAAGGGACAAAGCTGGAGGGCAGGGTGGGGGAAATGCCCTCTCCTGGCATTGTGCCCAGTTCTGCATCAGCAGGGCCTCATAGCTCAGAAACCATGGCAACACGCTGGTTGTCATGGTTACTGAGGATGCTCTATTCTGTCAGCTGAGTGCTCCCCAGAGCTTCCTCTCTCCATTGTAGTCTATAAAATGAAATGCACTCCCAAGTCCAAAGAAGTACCTTTGCACCCCCTACAGGCCAACCTTCATCTGTCAACTAAATATCTCACTGCTTGCTGTTGGTTCTTGGGCCTGGCCACAATAGTGGCATCAAGACAGTCTCTCTTGCTGGAACCAGGGAGGTGGCACTGAGCTGGAACTCAGTGGCTGGGCTACTAGCTCCAAGAATGAGATTCATTGAAGTGGCATATTTTTTGGATTCTAATTCCTCCCTCTGCCTCCACACTTCCCATAACTGCACAGGTTGCCCCTCTCTGAGCCCTCCTCCTCCCTCCTCCTTCCTCCTGCTCTTCCATAGAGAGGCTGTCTGTCTCTGTGGGCCCACCCCATCCTTCCAGCCTCCACCTCAATGTCATTAACAGGAAGCCCCATTGGTGTGGCTATACCCTAGACCCAGCCACAGGCCTGGGCTGCCTCCTTGCTGTCCAGGTCAGCAAGTTAAGTTCCTAGGGGTGTGGGGAGAGGTAAGTTGGTAAGGAACGTGTGGATCACATCCTCAAGATAATCATAGGTTTGAGCCCTCACACTAGCTGTCACTTCTCTGATCTATCCACACCTTCCCTGGATGTTTTTCCCCTGCTTTTTCTCTTTTGTCCTCTTTGATTTCCATCACAGGCTGTGATAGTGCCTGAGAACAAATTATTCCTTGACTTGGGTGTCACCATCAACTCTACTGAAGCATGCATCTGTCATGGCACCATTATGCCTGCAACCGTTAAAAGCAGAACCTCTGAGAGGGGCCTCGATGACAACCCTTCCTGCCTTCCTGTCTCTGCCCCACACCACAAAGCATCTCTATCACTCCAGGCCACAATGGAGGAGATGATGGCCTTGGGTCACTTCAGGTCTCAGAGAGATTATTATCCTAAACTTTGTTTTGCCAAGGAGTTAATTACATAGTTGGTCGGGAACTGGCTCTATGGCTGTAGTATCAGGGTACACTTCTCTATTTTCTGTCTGCTTCCTCCTTGTCCTCACTCCCCACTCACTTAAACACTCGGCCCCATCTTCCTAACCAGTGACTCAACTGAGAACTGACTCCTGGCAAGGATCTAGATGGACAATGAGAGTTGTGACACATAAGATGGTCACTCCTGCTTTGAACCCACTTCGTCAAGGAGACTGTTGTTTTGACTGTGTTGTGGCAGCTGCCCATTTGCCACCAGATCATGAAAGAGGGGTTCTAGGGCTTGAACTCAGCACCTAGGCATTGTTCCTTCACTTTTTTGTTCAAGCCTGCCACTTTACCACTTGAGCCACAACTTCAGTTCCAGCTTTTGGATGGTTAATTTGAGACAAGAGTCTCATGGACTTTCCTGCCTGGGCCAGCTTCAAGCAGCGATCCTCAGCTCTCAGCCTTCTGAGTAGCTAGGATTACAGGTGGGAGCCACCAGTGCCCAGCTTGCACAACCACATCTTCAAGATGGAAAAAAGCTTTGGTCTCAGTGTCCAGACCTGTGGGAATTCTGGGCCACCTCTTCTTACCACTGGCTCTCCCTAACTGCTCCTTTCTCATTTCTGCTGCAACTTCTGCATTAATACCCACAACCATAGTGGGGCCTTTGTTCCAGACAAGCTCCTCTACCAGGTCAGGGTCTGGGAGGCCTAGAGTCCTTGTTCAGTGCAGAGTCCCAGCCCTTGGCAGCTGTGAGTATTCTGCTCATACAGTCAATGTCAAAGCAAGTTGCTGTTCACTATGGCTCCCTCTGCCTTCCCCACCAACCAGCTGACCATGAGCTGCAGGGCCTTTCTACTATTACTCAGCCAATATGCTCTAGATCTGGGCTGTCATAAAGAAGTGACGCTCCCCCTGAGAGCTCTGACTGTCTTTCCATCAGCTACATCTCTACTGATTTGTTTAATGTCTCCTGACCTCCTGCCCAAACACCTGCTGTCTTTCAGTGCTTTCCTGCCTCCTCCTCTTCCTCCTAGCTCTGTGACCTTGTGCAAGTCTCATAAACTGCCTGTGCCTATTTCTTCATCTGATCATCTGAGTTATAAAAGCATCTACCTTATAGGTTACTAAGGATTAAATGCAAAAACCTCAAGAACAAACCTCAGGGAACAGGAAGTGCTGAGTGAGCCAAGCCTCTCTGAGCATGACCTATTCATGCTGCTGTTTGCTCCATACACAATCATTGTTTCTCTAGTTGTCTTTATTTGTTTGTTTATTTGTTTTTTTATTCTTTTCAAAT